AGGCAGGAGGGTTTCCCTGGGCAGGGGGATGCACTTGATGCTCCAGTGCTGGCCACATTTGGGTGTTCTGGGAATTTGGAACAGCATCATAGTGGGGAGGAAGTCCCATGACCAGCCAACGTCCTCCAGGCAAGGACAGGCTGCACCAGCTTCCCACATCTCCCTCTCCCTAATTTCTAAAGCATCCCTGAGATTTTTTTGCTCCTATCTTTTACCTTAAAGTAGATGGGCTCCACTTTGTGCTTGAGGGCATGGGCCTTGCCCACCAGGGCCAGAACAGAGGAGACCTTTTCGGAGTCATTGAGGTTCTCCACCACAGTGTTAATAGCACCCATGACCCGCCGAGCGTGCTTACGCAGTTGCAAGCTCCTCTCCATCTCCAAGGGGTCCTCCATGTGCTTGAACTGGCTGAAGTACTGCTTGGCCGAGGGGAAGTTGACAAAAAACCTTCAAGAAAGAATAGACATGAAATACCATCAGAAAGGTGAGAGCAAGCTGAGAGGTTCAAGCAAAGCAGGGAGCAGTGGAGATGCTGGAAACCACCCCCTTGGATCTAACACAGCCAGGGCTGGTTCTCTCTTTGAATTCCCCAGGAGCTGTGGCATTTAAGCTGCCTAAAAATCAGCAGGTTAATAGCTTTCTCCCCAGCCTTGTCTGCTGCAGATGCATCACAGCTGGATATTCATCTACAAAGCAGAGGCAAGCCGGAGTCCTTGATACCCAGAGACTCCACCTAGGCATACCAGATGCTGTATACATGCACACATCCATCAAAACATCTTGTCCTGTCTCAGGGAGCTGCAGAAGAGCATGGAAACCTCTCCTTATCCCAGCCAGCCTTTCCCTGCCTCTCTTCCCCAGGCCCACAGCAGCTCCCTGCCCCATGGGCTTTATTCCCACATTGCCACCCAAAATACCCTCCCCCTGCCCAAGATGCCACAGCTTTCACAGATCAGCCTCACCAGAGCCTCCAGGAAGATCTCAGCCCTGAGCTCACAACACTGTTCATCTATGCCACGAGCTGTTTCCCCAGCACCAGGACGCCCCAGGCAGCCCTGCTGAGGACCCTCTTTTCTGCAGGATTAACCCTCAGTGAGATGCAGCCAAAGCCAATGCAGCTGTGGGTGCAGCTGATAGGATGAGCTCCCTGGGGAAGGGGGTGGAGGGCTGGGGTTTTGCAGGGCACAAGTCAGGAGGGGACAGGGCTGGGGCCACTGGTGCCAGCACTACAGGCAGGGCTGGCACTCGAGTCACATTAACCACCCCCTTCCAGAGGAGAGAACCCAGTCAGCATTTGCTCCCCCTTTCCCCCTCCTCCCAGGCCCCCTTTGCCTGGGCCAATGAAGGATGCTCAGGAGGTGACAGAGGGTCCCAGAGCAGTGCCATATCATCCCCAGCACCACACAGCCTGCCTCCTCCCCTCTCCCAGGCTGCTGTAGCCCCCTCCCCAAGCACCACCCCAAACCATGTGAACCTATCCCACCCCTTTTCCTGACCATTGCTACCTCCCTCCAGGAGCCCATGGGATTCTCTTCCGCGCTCACTACTCCACAAATAATCACAATATTGAGGACCAAGCTCACGTACCACTTTGTTATCCCCTTTCCCCACCCTCCCTTGGCTTGTGAAAGCTCGGGGGCATTGCCAAGGAAGCGGCAGGAAAGCGCGCCTGGAGCGCACCGCCGCTTCTGCTGCTTCCCCAAAGCATCTGGGATCCATCAGACGGCCCAAAATAGGGTTTGGAGGTGTGAAGAGTGTGTGGCAGAGAGGGTGGGGGAGGAAGGAAGGTGGAATGGGGAGACAAGGTGTTGCTTTTAAAACCCAGAGGGAACCCGTGACAAAACTCTTGTTATTGTGCAGCCTCCCACCCAGCAAAGCTCCTCCTGACACATCTGGTGCCTGTTGGGAGTTATCACTCCCAGGCTGGGCTGTCTCCAGCTCCTGTCACCACAGAGATGCTCAGTCCTTACCCTTCAGCTCCGAGCTGTCAGAGGTGGTCGGGGAGGGACACTGGTCCCCTGGACAGGGTACAGAGCCAGCTGGGGCCACGCAGACAGCACCATTCCCAGGATTCAATAATTCTGCCCCAAGCTTGTCCTAACAGGAGGACAAACATTCCTCCCTGGTTTAATGGCACCCTTCTTTCCGTCCAGCCCCAGCATCCTTCTGCCTACCTCTGCACAAGCTGCTGCAGCCCTGGAGCTCAATGCCCTCCAGCTATCAACAGCTAGCACCCCACCGAGGTCAAAGCCAAGGGCTTTGCCATCCCTGCCAGCAGATCTTTTCCCCCCGGCTCTCCCCCTCCGGCTCTGGCAGACATCCCCCCAGGCACTGGGAGCAGGGAGTGCTGCTGGAAGTGGGACCTGCTGCCCACAGACTGCCCAGATGCAGGAGATGGAGGCTGCCAGCCTATCAACCCATGCCTAATGCTCCAAATCCCAAATCATCAGAAGTTCCCTGAAAAGCCCCGTTTGATCTTCAGCTCAAGGGCACAATGTTGTGAAGACACAGGAAATGTGCTGAGAAAAATTCCTGGGCTGAGACAGGCTCTTTGAGCAGAGGGGACACAGCGAGGCGGGGGACCAAGCCCTGCATTGCCAGGAGTCACAGCAGCCCCCACCAGAAGAAGGGCCAAAAGGAGCCCATGTCCTTCAGGAGCAGAGGCACGTCTCTGCCCCTTTCAGCTGTCTATGCTAGGAGCAGAGGTAGATCATACCCCAAAAAGCCCTCAACCTGGGTGAGGCCAGGCCAGTGAAGGATCCAGATATTTGGCTTCCAACCTTTCCCCACTCTGCAGACCCTCAAGGTGATGCTGCTGTGGGAGCTGAGCCCAGCAGCTTCCCTGAGGGACCTGCAAGAGGAATGACAGAGGTGCTGGAGGGATGAAAACCAGCAACCACATGAGACCAAATGCTCAACCTCTGCTCACTTTCATCAGTGGAGAACTGAAACAGGGGAGCTCAAACCATCTTTGCTTCAAGATGAAAACAAATCTGTGGCTGGCCAGAGACCTGCAGCCCCCACTCCTTGACCAGTGCCTCTGCAGGGCTGGTGAAAGCCAGGAGCCTGTGGCAAGGACTTCTGGCCTTAAGCAAGTATCTGAGCTGTCGAACTGAGACAGAAAGGGAAGGAGACTTACTCAGTGGCTGTTGTTAATAAACAGAGAAGATTAATTTAACACAAAGGTTAAATATAACCAGAGGAAAGGAAAGGAAAAAAAAAAAAAGGAAGACATAAAGTAACTCAAACAATAGTGAATTAGAAGAGGTGTCAGTTGGGGTTTTTCCATCTCTAGAACATCCTTCAAGAGTTCAAACATCTCAGGCTCTGGAATTTTGTTGGCTCATTATGTCTGTGTGTGTGTCTTGGGCTCTTTTTCTTCATCAGAGTCATTAAAAGATGACATTTACCATTGCATATCACACAAAATGATGATTGATGGAAACCAGATGCCTGCATACCAATCTCATTAAATTTCTCTTTAAGCGATTCCATTCTGCGCCCACTAATTTGTACTCTGCAAGCTACATCTGGACCCAACGGACAGGATGCCAGCACTGCTTTACCTCTCTCTTTTGCCCTTTTAACAACTTTAAGGACACAACCATTCCCAGTAGCAGAGCCAAAGGAAATAATTAAGGTGCAAAACCACTGCAGTCACCGGGAACCTGTTTTCTGTTCAAGAGAAGATGCTGCTTCTCTTCCCACCTCCCTGGACCCTACAGAGCAAACCCTGCACAGAGGAAATCTTCCAGCCCAACCATCTCCTTCCTTTCCTGGCTGGAAGGAGGACACCTGGATGCTGCTGGCTTGGTCCCACTGAGCACCTAAACCTTTGATGCCTCACTTACCCTGTTTGAAAACATCACGGGCGAGCCCAAGCTGCTGGGAGGCTTCATCTGAACCCCCAGCCAGCTCTTACAGACTTTTTTTGCTAGATTTCCCAACCCATGCTTTCATGTTTTCTCTCACCTCATCCCTCAACGTGGGAGAATCTCTCTCCACCACAGCCTGGAGTCTCTGTGGGTCCCTTTTCAAACCTCTCCTCCCAGCTCCTTTCTGCTCGCGTGCCCACAGAGCAGCTGATAATGGGTAGGCAGGTGATGTGTGGTGCTGCTATTTATTATGTCCGAGGGCTGGCTCAGCTTCTCCTGCACCTTCCCTCTGCTCCTCCCATCCACCTGTAGTCTATTGTCCTATTTTCAGGCTGGGCCAGGGGTGCCGGGCGCTGCCTGTGTTCACAGCTCCCAGCCCAAGGTGAGAAAGGGCTCTGCCACCTCGATGCCACCACCCCACAAGACAGAAAAAGGCAAATCTAACTCTAGGAAGAAGAGGATGGTGCCTGCTTGCCCCTGCAGCACAGCTCTGCCTGTGCCCCTCTCTCTGAGGGCTCACAGACCAGTGGAGATGGTAGTGGGCAGCATCTCCAGCTTCTGTGCAAGAGGGCTGGAGGGAAAAGAGCCAACCCTCTGGTTCACACATTGATGCTAAATTCAACCTCTTCTGCAGCTGAGGGAGAAGAGGTGTAGCTGGCCTTCCTCCAGGTGAAGCCCACATCCCACTGCAAAGCCTCGGGAGCAGATTCCAGCACAAGGCTGAGCCCTGCTTGGAGGTCAGAACACTCAGGGCAGAGGGACCAGGACACCCCCGTGAGGCTGGGAGAGGAGCCAGCAGCAAGGATGCAGCCAAATGCCTTTGACCATGAGTGAGCAAACTCCGGGGATGTGTTCTGCTCACTTGTGTGTGCACAGCTCACGCTTCCAAGCCCCCATGGCTCGTGTGTTCCCCCAGCAGGAACGTGGGTTCAGCCCAAAGCCTCCTGGCTGCACAGATGAACCTTTAGGCTAGGGACAAGGACAGCTTGCATCAGATGACAAAATTAGCAGTGCCAAAGTGGCTTTCTTGCACATCTCTGCTTTCCTGCAACCTTTGCAATCCCCTTCACTCAGTGCCTTCATCCACAGCATCATCCTCATCCTCACACCTGTCCCTGCCCGTGCCCCTGTCTGCTGGGGGCAGGCAGCGTGCAGGGATGGCTGCACCAGCCCCCTCCACCCCAACACCAGCATCTCCCTGTGCAGGGGGCACCCTTCCTCCAGCCCTGTCCAGCAGGCCCTGAGCACGGCCCAGGGGGGTTAGGAAACAATGCCAAAATGTGAGCCTTGCCTCCGAGGCAGAGGCACAGTGAGGATGAAGGCTGGTTTGGAGGTGGAACACAACCCTTGGCCGGGTGGAGAAAGAATAACCCAGATTCATAAAGATATGGTCCCTGCACAAGGACCCGCCATCCAGCCAGCAAAATTGGGAACCTGATTTTTCCTGGCATCCACCACAGGCTCTTCTCTCCCGGGCTGGTTTCCACCAGCCCCAGCTCAGCGTTGCTGGTGGCTGTGTTGGTGCTGTGCACCAGCGGGCTCACCAGCCTGCCCACTCTCCCTGCTCCCCGG